GGGCGCAGGTGCCAGCGCGTGGCCGCGGGGCAGCAGCGGCACTGCCAGCGCTTAATGCCCTTCCTGAACTAATGCCCGTGGCCTCGGCAGGGAGCGTGAGCCTCTTCCTAAGGCAGAGACCAGGGCGCACGCTGGAGAAACACCATGTAGGCAATTTCCGTAATAAATTTTGTACGACTGCATTATTTCCACCTAATGGAAATGCAGCACCTTTAAATAATTGAGCGGCTGCAGGCAGCAGCAGGGAGAGGGGCCGGGGGGAGAGCGCCGCGAGCTGGGGGGACCCCCGGCCCTCGCAGGAGGGCAGGGAGCGTGGGAGCAGGGCTGGCGCTAACACGTGCTGCTGTCTGCAGGCTGTGCCCGAGATGACCGAGCTCCTCAAGAAGAAGTGACCGGCGCAGACGTGCGGAGGGGGCCACGCGGCGGGCGCGGGGCAATAAAGACATGTATGGAGCTGCCGCCCGGCCCTGCCCAGCGCCAGCCCCTGCGCTGCACTGCTTGGAGGAGAGCCCTGAACGCACGGGGAGAAGAGAGGGGAAGGAGAAGATGAGGGAGAGGGAAGCAGGAGGATGGAGAAGGCATTGAGGGGAGAACTGGGAAGAAAGGAGGAGGGAAAAATCACAAAAAGGAGAAAGGGAATGGAAGAAGGATAAATGGAAGGCATGAAGGAGGGATGAAAAGGAGAAGGCATGTAGGAAGGAGGAAAAGGAGGAAGAAAGGGAACAGAGAAAAAGGAAAACAAAGGGAAGGAGGTAAAGAAGGTGGTGGCAAAAAAGGGAGGAAGAAAAAGTGAGAAATGGAGAAAAATGAGGGAGAAAGGACGCTGACAGGAAGAAGGAAGAATGGGGAAGGAAGAATGGAAGGAGAATGAGGCAAGGGTTAAGATGAACAAAAAGGAGGGGAAGGCATGAAGGAAGAGAAGAAGGGAAGGGAGGAAGAAAGGGTCAGAGAGGAGAACAAGTGAAGGAGGCAAAGAATGAAGAGAAAGGAAGGAAGTGGGGAATGGAGAAAGGAAGAGGGAGAAAAGAGGTAGGAAGATAGCAAAGGGCTAGAGGGAAGAAGGCAGAAGAAAGAGGGAAAAAGAAGGCAAAAACAGGAAAGGAGAAAAAAGGGAGGAGGATTGGGCAGAAGGAAAAAATGGAAGAAAGAAGATGGGGAGAACAAAGGGAAAAGGAGAAAGGGGTAGGAAAGGGATAGATGAGATGAAGATATGAAAGAGGAGGGAAGAAGGGAGCAAGGAAAGAAGGAATTGAGGGAAGAAGCAAGCACATAGGGAAGAAAAATCAGGGAAAAAGATGGAAGTAAAGGTTAGAAGGGGGCACAACAAGGAGAAGGGAGGAAGGATAAATGGAAGGCAGGAAGTAGGGAAGAGAAGGCCTGGGGGAAGGAGGAAAAGGAGGGAGAAAGTAGGCAGAGGAAAGGAAGGTGTGAAGGAGAGGAAGGAATAAGAGTGGAAGGAAGAAGAAAGGAAATTAAGGGAATGGAGAAATAAAAGGGAGAAAGAAAGGTAGATAGTAAAGAAGGAGGAAGGCAGGAGAAGGGAAGGAGGGAAAAGAGTAGAGAAGAAAGAAAATGGAGGAAGAAGGAAAGGAAGGAAAAGGAAAAAAAGAGAAGGAGGGAAGAAGAGAACAGGGAAAGCAATAGAAGGGAAAGGGATCAGGGAATGAAGGGACTGAGGGAGGAAGCGCAAGCACAAGAAAGGGGAAGAAGGAGAGAAAGGAAGCAAAGGTTGGAAAAGAAAAGGAGAAGGGAGGAAGGACAGATGGCATGAAGGAGGTATGAGAAGAAGGGAGAAGATATGGAGGAAGGAGAAAAAGGGGCAGAAAGGAAGGGAAACAAGGAGAAGATGTGAAGGAGGAGGAGAAGGAAGAAAGGGAAGAAAAGGGGGAATAGAAAAGGGAAGAGGGAGAATGGAGGAATGGGAGGAAGCAATAGGAAATATGAAAGGGTAGGGGAGAAGAAAGGAAGAAAAGAAAGGAGGAAGAAGGCAGGAAAGGGAAAGAAGAGAAAGCATGAAGCAGGGAGAGAAAGAGGAAGAAAGGCTGGAAAAGGAAAGAAGGGGAAAGAAGTGGGGAAATAAGGGATTGAAGGAGGAAGCAATGGGACACAAGGGAGAGGAACTGGGAAGAAGGAAGGAAGATGGAAGGAAGAGGAGAAAGAACAAGGGAAAGGGAGAAAGGATAAATAGAAGCCATGGAAAAAAATGAGAAAGGGGGGGGCAAAGAAGGGAAGGAAGTGAAAGGGAAGGGAGGAGGACAGGAAAGGAAGGAATTAAGGAACTGGGGAATGGAGAAGAAAAGGGAAGAGGGAGAAAGGAAGGTAGTAAGGAAGGACTAGAGGGAGGAAGGCAGGAGCAAGAAAGGGGGAAGGGAGAATAAGGATAGAGAAGAAGAAAAATGGAGAAGGATTGGGAGGAAGGAAAAAAGGATGGGGAGAAGGAAGGGAGGAAGGGAATAGCTGAGACAAATGGAAGGCAGAAAGCAGGGAAGTGGAGGAGGAAAAGGAAGAAAGCAGGGAAAGAAGGAATTAAGGGAAGAAGCAAGCACACAGGGAAGAACACTGGGTAAAAGGAAAGAAGATGGAAGCAAAGGTTAGAAAGGGAGAACAAGGGAGGAAGAATAAATAGAAGGCAAGTAGGGGAGAGGGGAGGCATGGAGGCAGGAGAAAGAAAGGTGGGCAGAGAGAAAAGGAAAACTGAAGGGAAGGAGAAAAGGGAGAAAGGAAATTAAGTGGGGAATGGAGAGGTAAAGAGAAGAAAGGCAGATGGCAAGGAAGGATGGTAGGGAGGAAGGCAGGAGCAGGGAAAGGGAGCAAACAGGAAAGACTAAAGGGAAGAGTAGAAAATAGGTAAGAAAATGCAAGAAAGGAGGAGGGACCAAGGATGGGGAAGAGAATGTAAGGAAAGGTGAGGAGGAGGAGGAAAGGAGCATGGAGAAGGCAGGAAAGAAGAGAGATAAAAGGAAGGCATGGAGTGAAGCGAAAGGAAGAAAGAGTACAGGGAAAGAAGGATTGAAGACAGAAACAAGAACACATGGAAGAAGAATTAGGAGGAAGGAAGCAAAGGTTAGGAAGAAGGGTAATGGAAAGGGTAAAAGGAGGAAAAGGTGGGCAGAGAAGAAAGGAAAATGAGGAAATGGATGAAAAGGGAGCAGAAAGATGAGGGAAGAGGAAGGGGGAAAGAGAAGGAATGGTGGAAGGAGAAAGAGGTAAATAAGGAAGGAGTTGGAGGAACACAGCAGGGAGGGGGAGATGGAAGGCAGTGAGACACACAGACACACACACACACGGCGCACACGTCTCTGCCATCCTTTATTCCCTGGGATGCCCCCGCGGCTCCTGCCAGCCCCTAAGGGCCCCGCAGGCTCTGGTCCATGGTGCCCCCGCCCTGCGGCTCTGCCCCCGCCTGGTGGCTGCTCTGCGCGGTGCCCTGGCCCTGTGGGGCAGCTCCTGGGGCCGCCGTGTCCCTGGGTGCTGCGGGGCTGCTCCTGCACGTGCAGTGTCCCTGGGTGCCACAGGTCCAGCCTGGCCCTGGAGCTCTTGGCAGGCCCCCTGCCCCCAGGTGCCTGGGTCCAGCCTGGCCCTGAGCTGGTGGCAGCAGCAGGGATGGAGCAGCCCCTGTGTCCATCCCCATCCCCACCCCGAGCAGCGGGGCAGCCTACGCCTCGGGCACCCTGCCCAGCCGCCGCTCCGGTGCCCCCAGCGCCCCAAACTTGTCATCGATGACGGGCGCACCCTGGGGCCGCTCGATGAGAGGCTTGAGCTGGAAGACGTCCAGGCTCTCCTGGTTCCTGCGGTTGAGCACACTGAGCCGGTGGCCAAGGTTGGGGCTAGCCCCGGTTGAGCCTGCCGGGCTGGGCAGCTTCAGGTTGACGGGATCCAGCCCCTTCTGCGCCAAGCTAGCGTCCTCCGTGAGGGACGAGAGCAGCTCCTGCACCACGGCGCAGGCCACCCGCTGCCGCACGGGCGCGGGGTCGCCCTGCGGGGCCTCCTCGCAGGCCGTGCTGCAGTCCGGGGAGGAACCCACCGTCTGGCTGCTCTCGCTGGGGGCCCGCGGGCCCGAGCTGCCCGTCGAGCGGGAGACGCTGCCCGACGTGATGCTGGCGGAGGTGCCGGTGCTGCCCAGCCTCACGGGCACCTCCACCGTGAAGAGGTCGGAGGAGATGTTGGGGCGGTGGACGTCGATCGCGGCTGTGGTGACCACGCAGAGGGCTGCTTCGGGAACGCCGCTGTCTGCAGGACCGTAGGGCAGGGAGAGGCATGTGAAAATGTAGCCAGAGCCACAACTGTGCCCAAAGCAGCATTCAGTGAGGGGAGGGGGGCACTTGTCACAGCAGCTTCCCTAGTGCAACATTGCTGTTTCCAAACCCACTGCCCCTTTTTCACTCATGCTGTTGTGCACAGGCATCTCTTAACTGGCTGCATCTCCATTTATATACCATGCACCCTACTTCCTTACAATGACATTTCTAGCTGTGCCTCTACCATTTCACTTTCACCAAAGTGAGAGAATTTCTGGCTGGATCCAGATGTCCAGGGAGCAAACAAAGCTACCACAGGGCTGCTGCTCTTCAGGACCGCTCTAGAGCCTTGGTCAGTCACACCTGGTTTACAGCACACAGTGCCACACAGCCCTGCCCAAATTTCAGCCTCTCCCCACATTTTTAAGGGACACTTACCACTGCTGGGTTCATGGTAGTAGCGACTGATGTAATTATTCATGTCATCCTCTGAAACAATAAGAGGGCAGCCATTAGAAGACCATTTATTTGGTTAAATGTCTGAGATCCCTCCTGTGTCCTGTACACCCAGAGACCAGCTTGTGTTCTCTGCAGCGCGTGCTGTGAGGCCGCTTGCCCTGGGCCCCCTGCCCTGCAGCTGCAAACACACGTGGCTGGCAGGAGTTGGCCAAAGGGGCCTGTCAGCCTTGGTGCTTCCTCACGAGCCAGTGCAGGACCGGGACCAGCAAAGGCGGCATTCCGGATGGAGATGGCCCAGTCCGTGATCCAGCTGCACTGGCATCTGCACACAGGCACAGTGTAAGTGACATGAGCTGCCCAGGCACTCGGTGCCACTTGGGAGTACAGGCCAGGGCTCCTGCCAGCCACCCAACGTGGCTGTGGGTTACACTGACCTGAAGGGTTGGGCTTGAGGAGTGGAGCCTCAAGGACCCCGGGCTGCCTGGGCCACCACAACCCAATACTTGTGCCGTGAGCCTATAAACCTCACCAAAACACAAATACTGTATGGCTGGGACTCATTTTTAGGGGTACCTGTAGTTTCTCCCCGTGCTGCGGTCAGGTCAAGCCAGACTGCACCTCTTTGCAGTGCCGTAACCTGGACGCTGTGTCAGGCCTCTTGCCTCTCTTTCAGTGTTTCTAACTTGCTACCACCAAAGACGGGGCTAAAAGAACCGGGTGGAAGAGACCAGAGCTCGACCTTTGCTGCCTCTGTGCTGACACCAGTATCCCTAAAGGCCACATTGAGAGGCCAAATCCAACGGCAACGGCACTTGGCCTCCAGGAAACGAGCTGGACAGGCTGGCTCTCCAGCTGCTGTGATCGGGGTGGTTCTAATGTGCACAGCTGTATTTCTGAAGGAACATTCCATCTGTCCTTCAGCAAGAATAAAGACAGAGAGCTACTTGGTTGCTGTAGCATTATTACATACGTAGGGGGTCTACAGTATCTGCTAGCTATCTATCGACTGTGCTAGGAGGATGCCTACAAGTGGGGGCTGTGGCCCTGCACCCGTAACACAACCAGCGAGCGCTGGGCTCTGTGGCACTGCTGCCGACACGCTCCACACAGTGGGTGATGGGGCTGCCTCGTCACCTCACAGAAAACCACAGCATCTTTTTGCACCCACTGGAAAATAACCCCATTTTGCAGCACCCCGTGGCTGTGGCTGTTAAGGAAAGGAGCAGCAGGCCAAGCAGCGCGCGAGCTCGCCAGCAGCCTGACCTGCCCGGCCCGTGGCGTATCGTGTGCTCTAAAAGCATCCTCTCCTTTTAAGTGCTCTTTTTGATACCATGTTTCAGCAAACCATGCTCATCCCTTTGAGCCAGATTTCCTTCAGCCCCCTGGGCCTCTGTGGCTACAGTCCTGCCTTTTCACAGCACATTGCGGTTTGCAGGTGAAAGAAACAGATGTTTTCCGGGGAACACTCTCTGCACACAACAAGACCCAAACCACCAAGCACTCTGTACCTGAAATAGCTGCACTCGCAAGAAGGCAATCTAACGTGACACTGAAAGGCAACAGGGTTGTCTGCCTGGTTTCATTGGATCTTAAAAGCTTTTTTGGCCCTTGTTGATCTTTAAATGCCTGCAGTCAGAGGTGTGCTTTGTGCTAATGCCTGAGTTTAAAAAAGGGGCCTCAGAGTAGCTCAAGGCAATGCCGCTGGATGAGGAGTACATTGCAAGGCTTTCCCGCTATCTGCTGCTAAAATACACTTCATGTCAATCATCCATAATTTACACTCTAAATGCGACCAAACCTACCAGTACAGACGCAGGTTCTTGCTCTTTTAGCTCTATGCAGAATGTAGCTGCATATATGCATTTTTGGTGATGTGTTTTCACCAAAGTCTATTTCTAAGTAGAGAGAAAATGAAAAGGCCACAGCTGAGGCCTGGATGTGGCCTGACCACGGCCACCCTGGCGTCACGTTGGCCCACGCTCACTGCAGGCAGTGGAGCCTGCCAAGGCTCTCAGCTTCTTTGGCTCCCATTGAAACCTGCCCCACATGCCAGGATTCTTTGCACTGAGGATGGAAAAAAAATAAAAAACAACCTGGAAAAGTTATTTGCCTGTTTTCTAATACCTTAATACAACACAAGTCAAACCACTTTTAGAATCGCTCAAATCCATGCTTTAGGGTCACACACTGTTACTAGACTGGCCAGCAACCAGCAGAGCGCACGAGTGGCCTGTTTGCAAGGCAGGGAGTTGTTTGCAACCGAAGGGGTAGCGACTACTCCGTGTGTGGGTAGTGGCCAGTGCAAACCCAAAGGGGTACCGACTATTCCGTGGTGTGTGGGTAGTGGCCAGTGCAAACCCTAAAAATGGAAATCCCAAACACCGGCACTCGGACACCTGCGCGCGGTGAGGAGCCTCCTACAGCTCCACGCGCCAGCATGTCGGGGACAGCGCTGGCTGCTACCATGAAGGGGTGAGAGCCGTCCTAGACACATAGCTAAAAATCTTTACATATAGATGGGTGTGCGTGTGTGTGTGTGTAGACAACAAAAAATGCCTTTGTTTTTACTCTGGAAAGTTTCTTTTGAATAAAAAGCAATGAAGAGTAAAGAGAAAGAGAGCAGCAAGATAAATATTTCAAGTACAGATTAAGTTTCTCCATGGCTACATTAAAGCAAACTGACAATTAACAAACTCCTCCTTGTCGCATGGGAAGCTCAGCAGCTTTGGACAGAAAGGGCTATAAGCAATTCCAGCTATCTCTGACTGCATCCTTAACTGCCGAGATCAGGGACTACAAGGAAAATGCCACAAATATAGAGCTGGCTGCAACTATCTCTGCACATAAAGGGAAGGGAGGCACCGCTGGGCGCTGCCCCTCACCGTGCAGCCCGCGCGGGAGCAGAGGGGTTTGCAGCGAGACGGAGCCCCTCTGCGCAGTCAGTCCGTGGTGCGCAGGAACCTGACCCGAGCCGGCAGGGCAGAGCAGATGCTGCAAGAGGGACAGACTGCCCTTCTATTATTTAAATTGTACACAGATTATTTTTTCCCCCCACTTTCAGTGTGCTTAAGCCTCTCCATCATTCTCAAATATAAAGCAATGTTCCCTATGCTTTCTCTTCCACAAAGAGGAACTTAAGAGTCCTTAGCCATACAGATGCACAAACTATATTTATAATAAACTACTGTCAGGAAGCAGGAAGAAGAAGCGTTTCCCTTTAATTTCCCCTGAAAAAGGCAACCTTCGGAAAAGGCAGCCTTTGGAAAATGCTTACGGAAGACAAGCTCTAGCACTTGGAGGACAGGGCCACAGACGGGACCAGGGCTCTTCGCTGGCCAGGAGGGGACGGTGGCCACACATCCTTCCAGCCACCCCTCCCTGACTGTCCCAGTCCTTCCGCGATGTCCCGAGTGCCGTTAGGTCCCAGGAAGGTGGGGAAGTGAGGTTGCCTCAGCTCGGTCCCCCATGGTGGTGATTCAAACAACATGGGGCTCCTGGCTGGGATCTGACAGCCGCTCTATTTTGTTTGATAAAGGCTTTTAAACTATGGGCCTGCTCTTTTCCTGCAGGATTCAGAACATAAGCTAAAGTGGTTCAGGGAATAATAAACTATTTGGAGTAGGGTCCCATACGATCGCCCCTGACACAGGAGTCACTATGATCTCTCTCTGCTGGCCCTATAAAAACATAACAAATGAGGTGAAGCACATGAATGAACTCCCCTCCAGGCAGACCTCTCCTGCAGTCTCTGCTCTCAAAATGGAGATCTCTTTTTAACCAACAACTTCACTGAACAAGTCTACAAACCCTCTCCATACGATATATGCCACTGGCACATCTCTACAATTAAAAGCCTTCAAAAAGTCATTTCTTTGGAAATAGCTCTCTACAGAACATTTTACTTTGTGTTTTTGGTGCCACTGACAGATCCTCCCGACCAGGAGGGTTATGCTTTCTTGCTGTGCAGTCTGCCGCGGAGGCCAGGAGCAGTAACGTTGCCGTCCCGTGTCTCCCCTGGAAAGCAATCTTTACTAGAAGGCTTCTAACGAGGCAGATCATCTATCCCCATCCCTGCTATCTGACACCAGCAGCTTTTCCTCAAAGTACCACTACCATTTAGAAGCCTTTGGGGAAAAAGGGTAGGATAAAATACACTCTGCAAGGAAAGCCGCTGAGACGCACTCTAAGCAGAAAGGCTTTTCACAGCACAAGTTATAAGATCAGGCTATTGCCCCCTGAACACTTCTAAAAATAAGAGCAGTGATGGGAGCTACGCTGCTGCTCTGACACCGGCCCGTGACGCGGCCGTGACAGCTCTGCACGAGCAGCGCTGAGAAAGGACGTGGGAGCGGGTGCGACATGACCCAAGGGGCCTCCCTCTGCCTCCAGCAACACGCGGTGCCCATCCCAAGAGGATACACCACAGCCAGCTGGCACCTTCCAGGGCGTTCTCCCACTTTTTGGGCAAGGCTGGACCTGCTGCAGCGCTCGCCCTGCTTTCCCTTCCCACCAATGCCAGGCCCTGCAGAGGCCAGAGGGCCGGGGGAGCGCGGGAGGTGCCACGGGGGGACTCGTCCTGCAGGCTAGTGTCTGAGTCACCTGGCAGAGAGAGCACAGCCCCGTCCCACTTGGCGGGGAAGCCTGCCTGGGATGGGTGGAAGAAGTCAGCTCCTCGCCAACCTGCGGGTGCAGGGAGCAGTGGGCACTTCAGCCATTTCCAAGAGAACAGGCTTCTGAGTAGCTACTTTTCAACGTTTGAAACTAAACTACTTTTCATCTACTATGCTGCAGTAGCACAGCTCTCTGCAGAGCACTGACACATGAGCACCAGAAGAACTGGCAGAGAATTGAAAACCCAAAGCCTTCAAGCAGCTCCGGCAGCCTTGCAAGCACCAACTGACAAAATCCATGCCAGCACCTTCCCCAGCAGCTTATGAATAATCTTTGTAGGAGCTTTTTGAGGCTCAGAATTCCTCATATTCTCCTCCCAATATCCTACTTTCTTCACTTAGAAAATGGTAGGTACCTGTGGGCAAAGCAAACTCTACTTTTCTCTGTGCATGATCGTAAATTGTAGCAGTCCCCCAAAAGAAACCACTTGCTGCCAACCCCATAAAAATGGAAATCTGACTCAGAATAGTTCAAACAACCCTGCTGTGATGGAAAGTAAGAGAGCTGGGATCCAGTTCTTGCTCTAATGAATATAAGGGTGGCATATTAATACTAAACTATGGCAGTACTGTAGATTTTCAAAAAACTAAAATGATATATGCAGGAATATGTGGAATTTCCACTAGGGACTGTAATTCATATATTATGGGAAAGATTAGCAAATAATAAATTTTCAGAGGAAGTCTTAATGGTTACATGGGGCAATGCAAAGCTGGCATCCCCCTAAGCCTAGAACTTTGTATCCTAAACCCTAAAAATGATTTGTGCAGGCACAGAAAACAGTAGATGTTATTCTGACCATGAC